TTGTTTTGTTTCAGATGTGTTTGGCTAAACAGTTTTACATTTTTATCTTTTATTAAGCATGTTGAAGATGTTACTTTTTTCCCCCCAAACCAGTTAAGCGCTAACCCCGTCTCTCACGGCCGATTTCATTGGTCAACTCACACAGTCTGTCACCTGTCAAGAAAAGTTCAGACTTCTTCAGAGTTAAAAAAAAAATCATGGATGGATCTAAATTGTGACAGACATACTGCTGTCAGGATATTCTACCAACACTATACTAAGATTATAGTTAGTTTTTCCTTTTTCTTTTTCTTCAAGAGGTTTGTGTGCGTGCGTGCGTGTGTGCGTGTGTGTGTGTGTGTGTTTTCTGCGCAAAGTTGGTTAAAATTTCAGACACAACTTCCAACTTTTGTTCTCAAGTAGAAATGAATGCTGTCAGGATGTCTTGATTTGATCAAAAGTGGCTTTTGCGTACATGAGCTGAGATGCTAACTAAGCTAGAGTGTGGATTTAGCTTTAATTGGAAGATTTACTGCAGCATGACCTCCACATTAATGTTCAAACTCAGTGTCTTATCAGATTATGTTAAAATATATTTGATAATTTTACAGTTTCATCTGCTTAGACCAGTTTAGACCATCTTAAATTTAGTTTTATATGGTAAAATGCTAGTATTTTGTTAGCTGGTTAATTAAGATCATAATTGTTCTTGAACCAGCTTAACTTGTGTAACCACATGCTCTAAAAAAATGCTGGGTTGTTTCAACTCAACTTTGGTCAAATATGGACTAACCCAGCTTTTGGGTTAACTTTTCAGATTAAATTTGTAACCCAAAAGTTGGGTTGAAACAACCCAGCATTATTTAGAGTGTAGATTCATTTATTTATGCATTTCTTTTTCTGTTACTTGAAAAATATGTTTTTATGAATGTGTTTTTATTTTATTTTATTCATGTTTAAACTGATAATGCATTATCAGATTATGTTAGAATCATATTTCATATTTTCACATGTATAATATTGATATTTTTAATTTATGTTTATTTATGTTTATTTCTTCAGTGGAAATAAAAAAAAAGCAAAATGTACTCAAACTGTTTTATTTTATTTTATTTTATTTGTATTTATGTTTAAACTGATAATGCATTATGTTTCGATTATGATTATGTTGGATTAGAATTATATTTCATATCTTTTTATTTATGTTTATTAAATACTAACATATTTCTGTATTTCTTCTGTGAAATTTTAAAAACTTACTCCAACTGTTTTTATTTTATTTTATATTTAATTGTATTTAAAAAATAAATTTTATTTAAAATTACTAAAATGTGTGGAATTAGCTATAAAACAGCCTCCATATTAATGTTCAATTATTAATGTTAGTTTATATTTTCAAATGTTCATCTTTTCCTGGGAAAAAACAATTTCTCAGACCAGTTTAGATCACCTTTAATTGTAAGGTTTGGTTTTTAGGCAAACAATGCTGCTCTTTTACTAGCTGGTTAAGATAAGATGCTTAACTAGTGTCGCCATCCTGGTCACCAGCTAAAACCAACATTATAAGTCAGTAATGTTCATTTGTTAAGTACTAGTTTAGCTGATGTATACTAGTTTGTGATGGAAGGAGCTGTGATCATAATCTATATAATGAGATTCTCTATGGTGACTGATAAACACAAAACCACGGTGTTATTCTTCACACACACACACACCCAGTGTGCCGCAGTCCTGTAATGAGTGTAAAGAATATTAGGAGAAACGCCTGAGATGAACATGATACATTTAAAGGAGACTTAGCTGAGTATGCCGTTATTTTTCCTGAGCCTTTGAGATGTAGGTGTGCTTGAAAGCATCTGGGCCGCTTTGACTCAATGTTTCCAGTGTGCTCTCATTGGGACACAGTATTTGTGATCTTGTATATTGTTTAGGATGGGTAGTATACAGGTGGAGAGAGAATGAGCGAGCAGCTTTAAGCGTGTAATATTAAGTCTCATCTCTGTGGTGATGTTTCTGTGTCCCTGACGGCCTCTTACAGCCCCGAGTGAGTGATTGCACTAGAATCGAGAAGACATTAGTGCTCAAAGACTACAGGGCTCTGTGTGTGTGTGTGCGCGTGTGTGTGAGTGTGTGTGTGTGTGTGTGTGTGTGTGTGATATTACCGCCCATATAGTGAGTTCTTGCATCATCAGCTAAACTGCAAAGACTTTCATGTGCTGTCTATAGAGAAGAAAACATGCTAAAATAAATAAATACTCCATAAAATACACATTTTCTTTCAATTTCCATCAAATTCAGCCCTGAATTAATTTTTTTATATGAATTTACTAATTATTCTTTCATTTTTGTAATTATATACTGTATAGATATACTATATGTGTATATGTATGTATATATATAACTATATATATATATATATATATATATATACGCAGTGGGTATAGAAAAGAAACGAATCACCCCCCTTTAAATAAACACATTTTGTTGCTTTGCAGCCCGAAATAAAGACAGACACAGTTTTATCCAGCTGTATTTACTCAGTGCAACTTATAACATCCAAGTGAAAGATAAAACAGGAGTTGGAACCACCTTTTGCTTTAATTACGGCCTTAAGTATAGCCTATATACAGTATATAAATACATATATTACTAAAATGAAAAAATCTGCTTATTTTTTATTCTTACATAATATATTGTTGTATTTTTTTTCTATTTATTGATTATATTTATTACCATAGTACATATATATACATTTGTATATATGTTGAATATTTGAACATTTGTTGAATATTTATTTCTTTATTCTTACATTACATTCTTGCATATTTATTTCCATGTTTTTATATGTATTTGTATATATAATTATTACAATATATAATCATTTTATTATTTAAATATTATTGTTAGAATATGTAACATTACCTCCAGGTGTAATATATAACATTTATTTATTAATTTATGTATTTCTTTTTATAAGAAACTTGAAAAAGATTTACTTTGCTGTTTTCTTTTCTTTTCTTTTCTTTTCTTTTCTTTTCCTTTCTTTTCCTTTCTTTTCTTTTCTTTTGCAGGTTTGGTCCTCCATACAGCACAACTCCTGAAGTTGGTACTGTGTACAGTATATTGAATATTGAAAGGAAAAACATTCATTAAGGGAATTCAAAGGAAGTTCATCCAAAAGTGAAAATTCATTATGTATCTCATTTGCTCT